ATTAGAACATGATAGTCAAATGTGTGGGTTACATACATGAAATGGAGTTAAGCAATGGACTGATATTCGTTTACAAGTCTTTTTGAGTTCATTTTGGTGCATCTACATCTGTAAAAGACAGTTTCTGTGCCATTCTGTGAACATAAGGACTTGTTCTGTGAAGACCAGAGGTTAAAAGGTCTCATAAGGCATCTCAGTCTGGTCTTTGTCTTCTAGGTGGGGGAAACCACCCAACGGGCCCCGGTTCTCACCTTGGGCTCCACTCCACTTATGTATCTCTGTTGATACATTTCTGAGCAGGGTGTTGCTACCAAAGATCTGTCGAGTCAGTTCTTTGAGCAGGTTCATTCAGAACCAGCGGTAGCCCCCCTGGGTGGCAGGGCAGGGTCTGGTTTGGTTTTTTAGACACCTGGCCGTATCCCCTTAAAGAAATCTCTTTTTTCTGATTACAAGCCTTGAGCTCTGCCCTAGGCCTGGGCTTCCCAGCCCAGCCTTTAACAGGTAAGTTCTTTTAGGGTATGCAGCTCAGGCCCTTGGCCTCTAGATCCCTTGCCATGCTTCGGACGTAAGCTTCAGACGAAGAAGCGAATGACGTGTTTTCTCGGCACCCTTTTATACTGTGGTCGTGCCGGGTGATGAAGTCACAGGCTGTTGCCGGCCAATGTTATTGTCGTGTTTAGATGTATGCTTCAGACACCGGTCACGCTGAAGGCGTTCCCCCATAGCGACCTCTAGAGGACGCAGTGTCTCGTTCAATGTACTTCAAAGTTATGATAACAACAATAATATTCTTTATAATAATGAATTTATTTAAACATTATTTTTAAGGAATATCATGTTTGTCCATGTTTTAACTTAGTATTAGGGATGGAACGATTACCGGTTTCACGATAAATCACGATAAAATGCCCTGACGGTTAGTATTATCGTTTAAAATTTAATTATCATCAAAACCGTATTTGATTATCGCGATTTTGAAAACTCGCGGTAAATCCTGTCCAGCCAGCATTAGTCTGACGCAGAAGCAGCATGCAATGTTGTTGTT